CACACACACACACACACACACACACACACACACACACACACACACACACATTTTCTTCATATAAAGGAACCCAGGAAAAGCTCACTCGCAGACTGATGGCTGCCTGGGGCCTGGGCTGACTTGGATGGGGACACAGGTCTCAGAATGTTCGAAACTGTAAGGTAGCCAGCACTACTGTTTCTACCACAGCTCCACACTCTCCAGACACTAGCCTTTGTTGACTCTGGATTTATTGCAGTGCCTGTATGCAGTTGGCATCACGTTCCCCACAAGGATGACCCTGTGCTTACTCATAGTGCATGCAGAGGGTTGTCCTCACCCCCTACTGAGAATGACCCGTGTCTATCACAGTGTGCAAACGGAGATGACCTCACCCTTACAGAAGGGGAACCTCTATACTCACACAGTGCCCTCATGGGGTCAGCCTAACTCCTACCGAGAGATTCTGTACCTATTCGCACAATTCCCATAAACAGTCGGCTCAGACCTAGAGGCAGAAGACTGCTGATTCCCATTGAAGAGGATACTGAGATTCCAAGAGTCACCACGGCACCCTACTGGATGGCAGAGCCTACCAAATCCACCCTTCCAGGGCTGTGGGTACATAGATTGGGAGTCCTGCTTTCTGGACTAGGAGAAAACAGAGGCAAGGACGATTCAGACTTCGTCAAAACCCAGGTCCCGGGGGCTTGAACCACTCTGTGACCCTATCAGTCCTAGACCAAGCCCCCTGCTCAGAGCCACTGTGCTATGTCTGGCTCCCCCTGTAGGACAAACCTGGCATCACATGTTGTCAGCCTTGAGCCTCCTGTAAATGAGCAGGCGGTGGGTAGCCTCTGGCACATGAAGCTGTGCAGAATCGGACCCGAGTACATTGGGACGGTTGGAGGATGGGTGCTCCCCCAAATCCCTTGCTGGTGCTACCATGGCCTTGTCTCTGACGGCAGACATGGGCCTGCTGACCTGGCAAGAGTGCTCCAGCAGGAAGGACACTGTGTGCAGATGCATCCCAGGCCACTTCTGTGAGACGCAGAATGGGGAGCACTGTTCCACATGCTTGCCGCACACGGCCTGCCCTCCAGGACAGAGGGTACAGAAGAGAGGTGAGCTGGCCTACTGAACGTTCTTTTCGGAAGCCACCAATGTGCCTGCTGCCCGGGGTCTAGAAAACCTCTAGCTTAAGGATTTCAGAAGGAACGGAGCAGAAATCTTGTCCAACCCTAGGGCACCCACCCTAGACCAGTCCTGGCGGCAAGAGAGGAGAAAGTGCTATAGGTTCTCAGGAGGGAGGGTGAGACAGCAGAAGATAGAGGAGGGGAGAGGGGAGCACAGGGAGACAGGGAAAAGCCAAACTTGAACTCAGAGAATCTGGAAGATTCAGGAAGAAAAAAGCTTCCTGGTGAGAGTCAGGAGTAGGACAGAGGGCAGAGGAGGAGGGAAGGAGAACTGGAGCAACACCATTGGCTTCCACTTCTGGTCTAACCTCATATATCCAACCTCAGGTCTAACCTCAGCTATCCCGCCTCAGCCAGATGCTTTTCGGGAAGCCCGACTTGTAAACTGTGCCCAACCCCACTACTCACCTAGATGTGAGGGCTGCCTTTGTCTTCTGTCTGGCATCTGGCCAGGCCCCCCTGGGTTATTACAGCATCCCATGTCTGGGATGTCCTAAAACTACCCAGCCCCTTCTCACACAGTCTCACGGTGCCATCTACCACCACAGCTCCCTCCCTCTACCAGCCACAGAGTATTATGTGTTGGAAGGCTTCAGAATAGACAGCTCCCAGGCCCCACCCCAGGGAAGCCCAGGTCCTTGCAACCCTGAGCCCAGCTCCTCTGCTTGCCCCTCTTTACTTCCCAGGTACTTACAACCAGGACACTGTATGTGCTGACTGCCTAACAGGGACCTACTCACTTGGAGGGACTCAGGAGGAATGCCTGCCCTGGACCAAGTAGGTGACTAGCACCCTGGAAAGGGAACTACTCTGTCACCCTGGGAGATGAGTAGCCAAACCCAGCTGGGCTGCATCCTGGGTAGGCAGAGCAGTATGGGGACTTAGCTAGGACTCCACAGGCTGTGGCCAGTTCCCACTCTATGATTTTAGGAACAAGACGTCAAGGATATGGGAATTCTCTGTACTTCTGTAGTGGGGGTGGGAGGCATGCTGATTGTAAGATTTAGTCAGTGTTTCTATGACTGTGAAGAGACACCCTGACCACAGCAACTCTTATAGAGGAAAACATGTAATTGGGGCTGGCTTACAGTTCAGACGTTTAGCCCATTATTGTCATGGTGGGAAGCATGGCAGTGTGCAGGCTGAGATGGTTCTAGAGATGCAGCTGGGAATTCTACATCTGGATTGGCAGCAGGAGGAGAGACTGACACTGGGCCTGGCTTGAGCATCTGGAACCCCAAAGCCCCGGGACACTCTTCCTCCAAAAGCCCACACCTACTCCAATGAGGAGGTGTTCCTAATAGTGCCACTCCCTATGAGCCTATGAGGGCCATTTTTAGTCAAACCACCACCACAATGTTCTCAGGCAAGGCCCCTTCTCCACCTGAGCCAGGATCCCCTCAGTGTGGATCTCGGACCCTAGAGCTAACCTGAGAACTTGGGATCACTGAGGATAGCTCGGCTTCCTTGGGTGATCCCTAGGGAAGGGCATCAACTCATCCTTTTCCCCCATCTCTCTTTACTGAGGTCAGTTCAGTCCCCAACTTTGACCCTAGCACCCCTCCCTTTCTTCCTCCCTCTTCCTCCTCTTCCTCCTCCTCCTCCCCCTCCTCCCCCCTCCTCCTTCTCTTCCTCCTCCTCCTCTTTTTTTTGCTTCCATTTCTACCCTGCTTCTTCATTCCCTCCTCTTATCTGTTTCCCCACAAAGGGCTTTAGAACTGTAACCAACCTAAGTCCTATCTCAGAGCTGTTATACCAGCTGATAGGTTCTGAGTTGCATAGACCCTGTCTTGCTCCCCATTGCCCAGTCTGCTGACCTGTCCCCACAGCATAGGTTTCCCACCACGTCCCATGGCTGCTCTCTCCTAGGTGCGGTGCATTTCAACAGGAAGTAACACGGGGGACCAGCAGTACAGACACCACCTGCTCCTTCCGGGTCGTCTATGCTGTTGTGTTCATCCTTTTGGGACTTGTGATAGTGGGAGTTGGGCCAACTGCATTTTTCATCCACAAGCGAAGACATCTGCACTCCGGTGAGCAACACTTCCACCCTTCCAGGGCTCAGGAGTCCAAGAGTGGTCCCAGGGTCTTTGTAGAGTCTGGATCTACAGTGGCTAGTGGTAGAGCCCTTCCTCAGAGCCTAGCTGTCAGGTGGCCTCTCTAGGATCCTCTGTTCTTCCTTCTTCCCTCCTCCCTCTCTTCCTTCTTTCTTTCCTTCCTTTCATTGTCCAGTCTCAGCTGTGTCCTGCTAAGTTGGGCTCTAGAGACCAGCTTGCAGACCAGCTTGCAGGCCTGGGAAGCTCTGGGCCATGCTTCAGGGAATCAAAAAACAATGGCCAGGAAGGCCATTCTCTTGTCGGTGAGGAAGCATACCTCTGTGTGCTCATCCTTGGGTACTGCTCCTGCATGAGGCCTCTTCCCTAGGCTCTGCAGGTGGGCCAAGTAGCCTATCCCCCTTTCTTTCCAAGTTAAGTCCCCGCTCACAGGAGTGAGCAGGTTCCCCAACTCTGCAAAAGCAGGTGAGTGGTTGCCTTTGGCCTTCAGGAAGGGGGGCAGGGATCTGTTCCTTCACCTGGTGGGCCTCCTGTGGGTCTTGACACATGTCCAAAGTTCACTTCTTCTGGTAGAGAGGGTCAGACTCTAGAGGTAGGTCACACAGCTGGAAGCCCAGAATGTGGGTTTTCCATTGCTGTGTGCCAGACGCCCCTCTTGCTTCAGCCCCTTCCATGACTCCATGTCCTTGTGTTACAGGCCCAGTGGCCAGGGAGCTGGAGCCTTTCCAGGTATCATTGCTAGGGGTGTTTGGATCGGGGAGGAGGTTCCAACTGGTTGAAGGACCTGACTTCATTGTCTACAGCTGAGCTTGTCCCCGAGAACCATGCAGTCCCCGGCTTGGTGCCTGAGAGTCAGGAATTCACCTTGCGTTTCTTTGGCAGCAGGAGCAGCAGGAGAACACTATCAGGTTTCCAGTCACCGAAGTTGGACTTGCTGCAACCGAGGAGGAGACAGCCTCCAACTGCACGAATCCTGGGTGACGAGACACCTAGGAGACCTAGGTGGGAAGTTTCCATATGCCAGGGGAGCATGGCAGATGTCCTGGGCTGCTTCAGCATTGCACAGCAGTGAAGATGTAGTCATGGCTCATGGTCTAGGAGTTGCTTTGCCATTCTTAGTGTTAAATGGGGTCATCTGCTCCCATTCAAACACTAAGAGGTGGTGATCCAAAGTCTGTATCAATGACAGCTACCACTGCCCCTATGTCTTACTTCCTGGCTTTTCCAGTCAGCCCATAACAGCTCTGTCTAAACCTTAGGCCTCTGTTTGCTCTGGAAATGTTAAGCCTAGGCCTGCTTATCTGGAGGGCTGGTGAGCACTGCCTCCTGGGGCCGGGGTGATGAGACATGAATATGACATTAATGGATTTTATTTTGAAGTTTCTGGGGCTGAAATCTAGCCCATACCAGGCAAGTACTTTATTCCTGAGCTACATTCTCAATACTCTTTCTGTTTTTACTTTGAGGCAAAATCACACGAAATTGTCTGGGTCAACTTTGGACTCCTTCTGTATCTTGGGAAAGCCTGAAACTTGACACTTCTACCTCTGCTTTTCAAATAACACTGTGATTACCTGCGTGGTTATCCAGACTGGGCAGGCCAATGCTTTGTATTCTTCTCCTGTGTGTGTGTATGTGTGTGTGTGCATGTGTGCGTACACACACACACACACACACACATACACACACACTCATGCTTTATCCTCTTTTCTGCTAGCCCCAGAAAATCAGGTTTTGTCCTCTTGCTGTTTCACCAGCCCCAGAAAGTTTTCTGCAGGCTCCAGAGAACTTAAGTTTTACTCCCTCAGATAAAAATCTGCTGAGGGATTGATTAATCCCCGACTGCATACCTCTCCTCAGTGTAACTGACCTGTCGAAGCTGGCCTTCGGTACTTGTTCCATAGTAGCTAACTATCTTGAGCTAGCCTGGAGCTCACCAATTCAGTTAGCTTGGTCTACCACTGAGCCCTGAACCCCGGGTATACCCTTGGCTCTGTCTTCTCAGTGTTGGGATTAAGTTCTGGATAGCACTATGTCAAACTTTTAAAGTAAATTTTGTGGATGAACTCAGTTTTAAGAACACAGGTCCTTATGCTAAAAAGCATGCACTGTAGTGACAGAACCATTACCCTGGCTTCAGAATAAATTTCTAAGTTATTTTATACTTGTCATAGGAAATAAATATTTTTGTTACACGCCCTGTCTCTATCTTGTGTCTCATCAAACATCTGTCCTGTGAGAATGATGGTGACTATTCTAAGGTGGCTATGTTCCCATGTCACAACAGTCACTTGATGAGGGGCCTCCACTGGCAGGAGGTGCAGCCACTCTTGCTGATGGTTTTGTTCATCCTGTTCAGTGATTGATTTCATCACTGCCATATTTTCTGGCCCCCATGTTTCTGTGGGCATCCTTTCCAACAGGATTCTTTTAACATCTCCCATCACTTCACCGGAGTGACTGCCCGTCAAGCCGACTGCTGTGTGCCAGTCCCCCTTCCCTCATCCTGGCCTCAGTTCTTCTCCCAAGAACCGTGTCAGCTTGAGATAAATCAGGTAGACCAGTCTTGACTGACATTGCTTTCTTTTTTTTCCTGGTCACTTTCTAAACCTTTCATTCTGATTAAATTTCAGGGGTAAATTTTCTGCCAACCACCCCATACTTACTTTGCCTGTGTCTCCAGTAAAATGCTCGTTGTATTGTTCTAGATATGTTGGCCTCTGGCTTTGCTCTGACTACATCTAGGGCCTGGTCCCCAAACACAAGGCCCAGGTTTCCCTGGAATAGCACCGAATGATGGAGTTGTGATTTTAAAATTAGACACTGGGATTACTGGGAGATGGCGAAGTGGTTATTAAACAAGACTTGGGCACAGTGGGCCTGAAAGCTGTTCTTCTTGGTACTGACAGAATGGGTGGACATTCAGGAGCAGAGACACGAGCAGAGCCTGAGACACTGCCACCTTCTCTGCCACTGCAGAACCTTCTTCTCTCTGTTCTGGTCTCCTACAGCAGCACAGGGTATGCATGGTCAACCAAGCACAGGCAGAGATCACACCCACCTGAATGAATGGATGCCTGGGGCCAGCTGCATGGCACCGTGTTCTCTGAGCTGGCTGTCTGAGGTGCAGAGGATCCAGTGCAGAGGTGTTGTCCAGTCTGGATCAGCACTGGTTCCCCTTCAAGCCACAGGAGAAGTGCAGTGGGACCCTGAAGGAATCCTGTTCTTTGTATCCAGAGGCCCACAATAGATTTCTGTCTGTGGCGGGAAGTATTAAAAATTGTGTGGCTAGTTTTTGCGCTACTGCTGCCAACTCTCTCAGCCCAGGTGTGGTTCTGTCAGGCTACTTTTTTTAGCTAGCTCATGCAGCTCCAGATTGCTGTGTTCCCAGCTCTGGTTCAGTTTGGCGCTAAGCCCAACACCAGTGGGACACATGGCCCCAGCCAAGTGTTCCCATTTTGCAGACTCTGTGGCCCAGGGGCCCCCCTGAGATGTCGGTGTGGTCGCTACCTCCATGGCCCTAGGCCTAGCCTCATGCAATGACCGTCAAACTCTCAGATATTACAATACCCAGTAACCCAGTAAAATCAAAACTTTTAAAGCTTATAGTTAACCGACCAGATTTATATATTAATAAAATCTTAATATACAAGATGCCCACACAATTTAGACCAATTATCCCAATTATTCTAACCCTAAGAGATTCATAACTACCTGTGGCTACTTAAAGCCACAGTGGTTCTGAATTAGTCTGTTTGTCTTCCATCTTGATTTTTTTCTCTCCTCTCTCCCTGCGTCCCTCTCTCTGCAACTCTTAGCTCTGCCTCCCTTCTTCCTGTCTAATTACAGGCCTCCTGCTGCACTAATATTTAAATAGATTGGACAGGGGAAATCTTGCCACATCTGTCCCGAACATGATTTCATTCTGATGGTTTGATATCTGAAGCCTCCCTTACCCTTTCAGGAGGAGCCAACTCCTAAATTCAGGAACCGGTGACCCGGGAGTTTGCAATTTACGTTCAGACTGGCCTATTTGAAGCTCACCAGTATGAGCTACTTTTCTCAGTGCTTGGCTCAAGCACCTGACAGGAAATCATGTAAGGAAGAAGGGGTTATTTTCGCTCCTCGTTTCAATGTACCATCCATCACGGTGGGAAAGACAGATGCATGAGTTGGCCGGTCACCTTGTGTCTGCAGTGAGGAAGCAGAGCTTCCTTTCTGAGCTTCCTGAAGTCTGAGACCCTTGGCTGTGGAATGATGCTCCCTGACTTTAGGCTGGGTCTACCCGCCTCAACCCAGTTTATTTCCATGGTGAGTCTAAATCCCGTTAAGTTAATAATCGGCATTAACTGTTGCACTATTGGACTTAGAGTCAGAGCCTGTTCCCAACAAGCTCAGTCTGGACTCCAGCCCCCGAGGAGGTGATTTAACATTTTTTTTTTTAATTTTTGAAAAGCTCAATTGCCAGCCTGCATCAGGGTAGTGTCTGCACTGTGAGCGACAGGACAAGGCTGTGTTGTCTCTTCAGGTGGATAGCTAGAGCCACCAGGCAACATTAGGCCACCGCCGTGCTGGGTTTCTGCCCAGCTTCGTGTATTATATGACTTTCCTTGAGAGATGTGAGTGAATGTCTAATTACCCCAGATTGGGTGCTGAAGACCTTTGTCCTGCAGGTCCCACCCCTGAGGCCTTTGAGATGCCATCTCAGAAGTGTCCCGGGAATAAGGTGTGTCCACAGAAGTTGCAGGGATAGGCCAAGCGGTGGCAGATGGGAAGGAAAGTGCCAAGGTTCATCTGAAACCTAAGAAGTGGTGAGAGCTGGACTGAGTAGAATGGAGTCTGCAAATGGCCACATTGAGAAAGGGGACATATATCCAGTGACCCCAGCAAGTCCATCTTTCTAGTTCTAATCTGACGTTGAGGTTAAGCAGACACAGGGGTATGCTTATTTCAGCAGTCCTGGGTAGGGTGTGGTCCCACCCATCACTGCCTCTCCTGTGAAGCGGCCTGACATATCTCTTTTCAGGAGAACAGCTTCTCTTCTTGCTGGTCTATGCTTTAGGGTTTCTTCTCTCACAGGATGAGAATCCCAAGGTAGTTTCAGTCCCCTGGGGTCCACTGCTTCAATAGACTCAGAGTCAATGAGAGGAACAAATGAGTCTTTAGAATATCTTCCTCTCTGCTAGTTATGGTCACACTACCTAGAGGTGTCCTCTGAGGCCTTTATACCCTGGACCAATGGTCCCTAGAGCCCCAGAGCTAAGATTGGCCCCTACAGGGGGCAGAGTCTGTAAAATTACCCACATCAACCAACCCACACCATGTCTTCAGCTTCTGACCCCAGAGTTCCTGACAGTCAACCAGGATTGGTTCCTGTACCTCAGAGTCTGGAAAACTATTGTCTCTGGCGAGCCTTAGCTTACTGGGGACCCCCTGGGTGAACCACTCAGAGTTGAGAATAGATGCAACCCCAGGCAGCTCATTCTATGGACCTTTATACAGTTTCCAGGGGTGGCATAGAGAAGCAGCAAGTAGGCACAATATGATTGGCAGAACAGTGTGACTTTTAAACTGATTGGTCCTTAGGGAATGAGGCGGCAAGGACTTCCCTCGACTGTGGGTGGCCAACAATCTGTCCTGTGGAATGTGTCCCCCCCCACCCCTCCATTGTTGTCTGAGGAATGTTAGTTAGCCTCTACCTTCCTGAGGGACAAGTGTTCCGAAGTTCCTGAGCTGACCTCTTCACCATCATCTGTATAAACCTAGCCTATGCCTGCTCAATGACCTTGTCTGGCCTTCCCCATGGAAACTACATGAAGGATCTCACCTGCAGAGACCTTGCTTCTTCTGCTTGCTGATCATCCCTGGGGCTTCCCCGGGCGGCCTTGGTGACTCCGGGGAAGGGCTGTAACAAGCCTGCTTCTCGGTGGTAGTTTCCCCTGATCTGCAACCTTGCCAGACTGTACCATGGTAATACCTGCACTGTGAGACAGGCCATAGGACAAGACTATGCTGTCTTGGCCACAGTGGATGGCTAGAGAGATAGAGCAACCTTAGACCATAGGGCTGGGTTTTCAGCCCAGCTTCTTTTCCTCACGTATTGTGTGACTTTTGCTTAGAAAACATGAGTAAATGTCTAGTTACCCTAGATAGGGCACTGAAGACAAACCAAAAAAAAAAAAAAAAAAAAAAAAAAGAATACTACCTAGGTCTAGCTTAGAGAACTGGATGAAAGTCCCTCCTCTCAGCTGCCAGGATCCCTGGCCCTGGATCTCAGGGCTGTGTATGAAGCAGTTGGGGCCAGGCTAAAGCCTCCCTGTAACAGGTTTCCTCTCCAGGTAGCCCCTGCTTCCTGCAGGTCCTACTGTTGTGGGGCCTCTGAAAAGCTGCCTTGTAAATAAAATTTTCAGAGGTGTGGTGTGGTCCACAGAAGCTGGTAGAAATGGGGTGAGGGGCTAGCACTTGGTGCAGGAGGGTAGCAGGGAGGCAGAAAGGAAGAAAAGTGGGGAGGCTCACCTGAGGCCCGGAAAGGGGTAAGATCAAGACTCACCAGAGTGAGTGGAGTCTGCAGAATGCCATGGCCCAGGCCTAGGGTATCAGCTTCAGAGACTGGCCCTGTGCAAGAGGCCGACTCTTGTTTTGTTCCTAGCTTCTGTGTCCCAGTAACTCAGCTGTCTAGTCAGCACCTCAGCCCAGTCAGTATCTGAGCCCAGTCTCTGCCATGGCAACTACTGTGGTGGTGGTAGCTCAGCACCAACCCTGAGAACTTAGGGGCCTATAAAGCAAACCGGAAATGGAGGGGTAGACGTGGTTGCAGAGGAGACACCAGGATGATGCTGTGGGTTTGAGGCTCCCCATCCCATTCCAGAGTTTCCCTTGGAATTCCTCCATCAACAGCCTCTCCCTCCTCTGTGAGGACAGATCCTACCTACATAGGACAAATATGTGGGTTAATGAGACCTGGGTATCCTGTCAGGTGTCTGGAGAGACTGTGCACATGAAGCAGAGCTTCTAGCAAACACACACACACACATACACACACATACACACACATATATATACACATACACACACATATATACACACACACACACACACTCACACATACACACATACACAAACATACGCACACACATATGCATACACACACATACACACACACATACACACACACATACACACACACATACACACATACACACATACACACACATACATATACACACACATATATATACACACATACGCACACACACATACACACACATACACACACACACACACACACATACACGGTTCACACAGGGTTCACACTGGACAAACCGGAGACAACAGGACATACATAATTAGTAACAGCCAGGATCAGAGCACTTGACCACAATGAGAAGCCCCAGGCAGTGCACGAGGAACTGGGAGAAAAAAAGTCTTTTGCTGCAGTGGATGGCTGGCTTCACTAAAAAGGAGGCCAGAATCTTTGCTACTTCTCCCTAGGCATACAGAAATCAGAATTTGGACAATCACAAAGGGTAAATGTAGGCGAGGAGCAAGATGTTTCCAGCCTGAGATGTCTCCCAACTTCATTTTATCATAAATACAGGGAAAAGGGGCGGGGCTGGCGAGCTGGCTCAGTGAGGAAAAGACTCTTGCTGCCAAGTTGGTGGCCTTGTTTGGTTTTTTGAGACAGAGTTTCTCTGAATAGCCCTGGCTGTCCTGGAACTCACTCTGTAGACCAGGCTGGCCTTGAACTCAGAAATCTGCCTGGCTCTGCCTCCCAAGTGCTGGGATTAAAGGCGTGTCTCACCACTGCCCGGCTGCCTGAGTTTAATCCCTAGAACTCACATGATGTAAGGCAAAAAACCAACTCCTGCAAGTTGTCCTGTGATCTCTGCATGTGTGCTGTGGCACATGCTCACATGCACACAGGCACACATGCTCACACGCACACAGGCACACATGCTCACATGCACACAGACACACATGCTCACATGCACACAGGCACACATGCTCACATGCACACAGACACACATGCTCACATGCACACAGGCACACATGCTCACACGCACACAGGCACACATGCTCACATGCACACAGGCACACATGCTCACATGCACACAGGCACACATGCTCATATAAATGTAATACTCTTGCAAGTTGTCCTGTGATCTCTACACATGTACTGTGGCCCATGCTCACATGTACACAGACCACACACTCATACACAAAATAAAAGCAATAAAATTTTTTAAATAGGGAAAAAAACCTAGAATATGCAAGCAAATCTAATTGCTAAGCAAATCTTCCAGCACCACATTCACATCCAGTCTGGTGCAGCCCTGGTTCTGTGAGGCTGAGGCAGGGCACACAGACCTGACTGGCAGATGAGAAGACCAAAGCATGTTAGGAACTAGGATGAACAGAGGGCTGGGGTTGCCCGGGCCTGTTCTGGGATGACCCAAAGAGACCGCTGCAGTGTTCCGGACATGTTATAGTATTGTGGGGAACTGGGTATCACCAGGCTTGACCTTCACACAGATTCTGATCATCTCCCATGGAAGCTTATGGGGAGTTTCAGAGGCTCTGAGTTGGGTGGTTACAGCCAGGGGTCATCTGCAAGGACAAGAAGAGGAACCAGCTAAGCAGCAAGGAAGGGTGAAAGGCATCATGGGAAGAGGGGGCAGAGTACCCCTGAAAGGAGATCCAGCACCTGGATGGTCCTGCCTCGCCAGACGGAAATGCCACCCTGGCTTGGACTATTGATATCACTGTCCCCAGCCTCACCCAGCCGCACCCCAACTCCATCTCGACTGTACAAACACCCTTATCAGCAGAGAGGAGTGCAGGTGCTCAGCCCTTTGTCCTGCCAGAAGCTGAAACCATCAAGGTGCTACCACCACTGCTTCTGAATGAGGGCCACTGCCGGGGCCTTCTCGGTGGTGTGGGGCTGGCTTCTCCAAACCCTTCTCCTTCAGGGACAGGGCAGTACAGGAAGTACAGGAAGGCCCAGGAAAGCTCTAGATAGCAGTGCATAGACTTTTACTCCATGATCTGGGAAGCCAGACAAGGGAGAAGTTTGAGGTGGAGGCTGGGAGGCATGGGGACAGAGAGAAGACTGCAGCCTGTCCCCTGGACTCCCGGATGGAGGAGGAACTCTGCCACCCTTGTGTCTGATAGCTGCAAGTCTTTGCTTCTCGTTTCTCAGGGAGTCTCTTGAGTGTGGAAGTTGTCAAAATCCAGAGTCAGCAGTGCCAAGTAGAAGGTTAAGAAGGAGTGGCTCACCCCTCACTGACAACTACCACAAGCCTTGGCCAGAACCACACGGCCTTGTATGGAAAACAATGCTGTGGGAAGCCAGCCCAGAGCTGTGTGTTCAGCTTCAGGCTGGTGTCCCCTCATTAATAATCACTGTGGGCAAAGATGATGACTTCACATGGTGCTCACTTTGTCTTTGAGAACCTCCCTGGCCTCAGCTGCCTTGAATATGAACTCTGTTTACTGCTGTACACATACATTCCCTTGGAACACTCCATCACATCCAAACTCTTGGAGAATGGCTCTGTGGTCATCAGGTTAACAAGGCTGCTCAAGACTTATCCAGGCACCCGGTTCACTGAGGCAGTGAAGTGGTATGGACTCAGGGATCAACTGATCAATTGGGGCCAAAGCTGCTTTACCTTTGGCAATTCTTCTGTCAGCGACTGCATGGCCAAAAGCTGCTTGCTTTTTTTGGCAGTTTTCTATCTTCAACTCTTTGCTCTTCTGTGGCCAAAAGCCTCTGACTTCTGGTAATTTGACTTCATGCTGATACAGCAGGGGATTTAAACAAAAAGTTGTAGTTTCTCTCTGGGTCAAGGGCCCCTGCTGGGGAGAGGCAGGACTTGGAGTTTGTTAACTCTTCATGACCCAGAGAGAAGAGAAAAGGAAAAAAGAGATTCAAGCACAGATACACATGAACACACACACACACACAAACAAGACACACTCACAGATACACAGAGACACACACAAACACACACACAGACATACACACAAACACACACATACACATAGACACACAAACACAGAGACACACACAGACACACACAGACACACAGACACACACACACAAACACAGACACACACATATAGACACACAAACACAGAGACACAGAGACACACAGACACACAGACAAACACACACATTGGTCGGGCCTGAGCACCTGTCTCAACAAATCCATAAGTGTTTATACATACTTACATACATAATCCTACTCTTACGTATGTCCATACAGATAGACAGACAGACATATAGATATATACATTTGGTGGATGGGGCTGAGCCCCAAATGCCAACACGCTTTATTCCTTTTCTCAGCCTCTCTTATATTTTTTTAGGCAAAGGTTCTTTAGAAAATTATCTCATAGAAAAAATGTTACACAAAAGGAGAGTTACAGAAGGATGTCAATAGTTATGTTCAAAGCAGTCATATCTGATGAATGGGAAGGACCTGTCACCCCTATTTGGGCACAGGGAGGCATCCCCTAGCCCTCTAGTTATTTCTGGCTATTTTTTATTTCTGGTTAATAGAGTTTGGAGTCCTGTGGATCCCATGGTGGGACCAGGAGCTGAATTATGAAGTTTCAAAAGTTTTTCAAAAGTTTCATGTTCTGAGATGCCAGGCACTTTAGCCATCAACAAAAAAGGACTGGCAGACTTCTTAAGAAAAGAATTCCAGTTGATGAATGTTGTTGTCTTGCTTTTCTGTTTTTGCTTTGGTTTTATGTCTTGTCGTGTGTATCTGGTCTATATTTATGTGTGTTCTGATTTGGGGCTGTATCACATCGCCACATACATGGTCCCTGTAAGACAGATGCTGCCGCCGGGCGGTGGTGGCGCACGCCTTTAATCCCAGCACTTGGGAGGCAGAGGCAGGCGGATTTCTGAGTTCGAGGCCAGCCTGGTCTACAGAGTGAGTTCAGGACAGCCAGGGCTACACAGAGAAACTCTGTCTCGAAAAACCAAAAAAAAAAAAAAAAAAAAAAAAAAAAAAAAAAAAAAAAAAAAAAAGACAGATGCTGCCTGTGCTGCCCTGCTTCCTGCCCAGGTCTAGCTGGTGGTAAGGCTAAGCCAGGGGATCTGTATTGACCTCTGACCTCTGACCTCTGACAGTACAGCTGTGCATCTGCAGCTCCAACAAATGGAAGAATCTGTGACTTCTGTGCCTGTAAGTTTTGCTGTCTATTTTGTGTGTGTCAATGGATGTGGCCACACTGCATGCTTATTTCTGACTGGTCTTGACTATGTGAGCTTACTGTGACGTTTCTTTCTCCTGCTGCCAGGTGTCTGGGCTTAGAATTAAACTCTGGGCTTTCTGGCCACTGGATCGAATATAATAGGAATTGAAATGTCATTTGGGTATGGATGATATTGAAGTTATTTTATGCTGTGCTACTTTATTGCTGGCTCTGAAATTGGGTTATAGCTCACCATTTTTCAGACACAGGCATGATTTAAATTCTATGTCTGGGGCTAGAAATTAAAGGGATTATTGGTTTATAAGTTATTTGATATGGTTAAAAAATCTATAATATCTATGACAAAGGGCTAACTTAAAACTCGTAATTCGCAGTTGGAAATTACAGCATAATTTTGTGAGACATAAACCACATATGACTGGTCACCATCTTGGCTCTGGGCTGAAGAAGATGGAGTCATGGTTTCACTGCCATCTTGACTAAGGGCAGCCATGTGGCTGGCAGTCATCTCAGCTATGGATTTGGAGAGGCAATTTGACTAAGGGTAACCACATGGTTTATATTGATTGTCCTGTCCTAAAAACCAAGTTTATAAAAGATAAGATTTAAAAAAGTGTTCATTTGATGAGATAGTAAAGCTATACCTTCGTGCATTCATGTACAAGAATGTTTCTTGATCACAGCAAAACTCTGTAACATAAAAGTAACCCACTTGGTATTAATTTTAGAGACATTAAATTGTTTATACTGTCAGAAGTTGGGTTTTGGCTTCTGAAAATTATTATTATGCTCTATGTTTTCACTCTTAAAAATGTTTATTTTGACATTGTCAAAAACACAATTGAGAGATTTTAAAGCTTTTTTCAGAAAGTTTTGGTGGTTTACAGCATTAAAAAGGGTGAAAAATCACTGGCTAAAAAATATGTCTCTCTTTACCTGAGGTCTTTTCAGGCTAACAGAGTCTGTTAAGGATATATACGTAACCTTACTTTTCCTAGCATTATTAAGCTGTCACTTTTTTTTGTAAATTGAGTCATACAGGAAACTTATGTTCTATAATTATACACCATATAAGGATCAAGAAATTTCCCAGTTTCTTTTTTAAATGTATTTATGGATTAAAATTTTAAAGTAGAAAGAGTTTCAATTTAAAATCATTATTTTAAGGTTAAACCTAACAGGAATGGAATGCCAAGTCCCAGTCTTATAGAAGCCACTAAATTATTGTAAAATGTTAACGATAATTAGAAATGCAAGTTAATACTCAGTCACCTTATAGGTGATCAAATTCTTTAATATGTTCAAAACTATACTTGTAATCATGCTAAATGCTACAAATAAGTAAAAACAGACAAGGATCGTTTAACTCAGATATGCTTGGTAGATACTAGTTCTCAAGCCTGTCAGACATCTGCTGAATCTGGCATTTAAGATGTTTAAACTTAACTATGACAGTCAGAGATGCCCAGATCCTAGCAGTGTCCCCAAGGTCTCCAAGACTATAATAGGCACAGTGACAAAGGACACCACTTAAATTATGGTAGCACTAACTGCTGGGAGAGACTGCCCCCATGCCTTGTCCACTGCTAGGGCCTGGCTCAACCTACGGACAAGTAGGACACCAGGCCCCACTTTGCCTAGACAAAGTAAGGTCAGTCTCTTCTATGTTTCTCCTCCATAGAAAAGCCACTCATCTTTTGGGCTTGATAGTCAAAAGTGATACCTCTCTGCCTCTGCAGCCATGGAGACCCCGGGAGACTGGGACAACTGTCTAGGTAATGGACTATGGACTACTCTCTGTCATTTTAATGGATACATAAGGCACTTAGATTATAACTTATTTTTCTGACCATATTGATGGCTAAGTTAACTGTAGCTTGTCAGACAGAACATCAGGCAACTAGTTCCTTACCCCAAGATAATCAACTGGCGGCATGTTAGTTCGCTAGTCAGTTCATTAGCTAGTTAAAACTTATATATCACTTATTTAAAAAGGACTAAAAAGGTTTCAGATGTAACTTCCACTAATGAAATACGTTTTTACAATGATTACTCTCAGTGAAAATAACCATTTATGCCTTTGGTAAATGATTAGGATAAAAAAAAATTTTCTTCTGAGGTACATAAAGGCTTGAGGACATAAAAGCTTAAGTTCTGAGGGTCTCAAAATGATTTAAGACATACAGAAATAAAAAATGTTTCAGATTTCTTTCGCCTTCTAAGCACCCTGAGATTTTGGCGGTTCGAGATTTGATGGTGCTCTGAGCGCTCACTACTCAGATATTGAATTCACAAGGATTTTGAAGTTTCTCTGGCTGTCTTCAAGATATAGACTTAGAGATGTCTTTTATTGGGCTAAAACATCTCTGTCAAATCTATATACCTGGCTTTCTAGGCCAATAAATAAATAAGTAAATAAATACATGAATAAATAAATAAATAAATAAATAAATAAATAGTTCAAGCTTTTTAACCCAAAGCTATAGTTCTTACATAGACTCAAAGACTTGAGTCTATTTTTAAGGGATTGGTTTTGTTCACTGTGTATTCAGATGCTGATTGCTGTGTTCAGAGATCTGGTTGCAGTACAGACATTGGCGTCCTCCTCCTGTCTCAACGTTGTATAAAAATTTTTTTCCATTATCTCTGGCTGCTTAATAAAGATACGATCAGCGGGAGAAGAGGAGGAGGGTTTTCTGAACCAAGTGCGGTGTTCTGGAGGAAGGAGGAGAGAAGAGAAGTCTCCATGAGGAAAGGACAGATGGAGCAGGAGCAGCCAGAGAGAGACTAGGATGGCAGCTAACCTATGTGACTGGAAAGTTGCTGGTAAGTAGTCAATCAGGCTACCACGATCAGGTTAGCATAGATGAGAACCCTGCCCAGCAAAAGCGCAAGAAGCTTTTTAATAAATATAGCAGGTCTCCCTGTAATTATTGCAGAGCTAGGGCGGGCATAGAAAAGCCCTGTACTTTTACATTGGTATCCAACATGCTAGGCACAGAATCCAAACTTAAAAAGAAATTCAAACTTACAAAGAACCAGGCAGGCTTAGAGCCTGAAATGCTCCGGGTGGAAGACGGACACTGTGGTGGCCTGTGCTCTGTGAGTGGAGCAGCCGAAGTCCAAGTCCGGCTGGCCACAGGAGCCAAGGGAACAAACAGTGCCCCAAGGTGAGGCTTGGCGTGAACAGGGATCAGAAGGGGAAGGTTCTCCCAAGCTCTACATGATTCAGGAGAAGAGTCGGAGCACATGCTAGTGAAAGCTAGGTGGGCAGGGGACACATGGGTACCAGGCCGCGTGGGTTTGGACGCTTACTTAGCATGCATGCTTCCACGGTCTCCCACGAGCATGCCCCTACATGCTAGACCCACAGTGCCTTGGCGGGAGGCTGTGCTTTTGCCTGTAGCCGGGACGCACAGATCCCAGCCAGCAAATAGCTTGCAGCAGGGCAGAGCCGCCTCTTTTCTGTGAGCAGAAAGGCTGGGGTGGGACTAGCCACAGCTAGGTGGTGAACTGAACAGCAGAGGGAGACAGAGGGAGCACAGATGAACTTCTAATCAGGTAAAAATACTTGGAATTACATCTAAAAGCCAAGGAAAAAAGGAGACTGGTTATAAAACATCATAGGCAGAGATACATACTTTGAAATTAATAAAATTAAAAATAAGGCTGGAAAGAGTTTAGAAAAAATCAAATACAAAAAGGATAATTGAGTTTAGAAAACAGTAAGAGAAATAAATAAAAAAATAAAGCCCTTAAAGGAGAGAAAAAGAAATAGAAATGCTTTAAAAGGTACATAGATGCTAAAGAAACTGAACACAAAAATGCCAAGTTTAAATATAAAAGATAAAGTCTTCAAAGGAAGGAGAAAGGAAGAGAAATAAAAGATAAAAGTCTCCAAAGAAAGGAGAGAGTTAAAGAGATTAAAGGAGAAAATATTTTCCATGTTAAAAAAAAAAACAAACGGAAGAGGGCACTTGGACCCCATATAATTTTGTTTTGAGTGTTGGCATGAAAATAATTACATGTTCAGTAATAATTACAATTTTATAAATCCCTTTTCAGAGAGACCAAAATAAACAGAATTAGAAGAAGGGAAGACTAAAAAATTAGATGTTGTAACAGATGTCATAGAACAGAGATGAGAGAATTTTTTTCAATCAGGATAAAGAATCTTCAAAAGAATCCAATCTGGAACCTACAAGGACAGCAAAAAAAGGTAGTTCCAGATAAGAAAAATCCATAGAGACTTGAGAAATTAGAATGGAAAGCCATAGAAATACAATATAGTAGGTTAAAAATACAGAATATGAGATACAAAGCCATCTTAGAGCACTGTCATAACATAGCTTATATGTTTTTTTGTAGATTTGAAAATTTGAAAGAACAAAACAAAACAGGTAACATGAATTCCTCTGCGTGGGAACAGTTCTGAGACCAGCTGGGACAGGGAAATGTCTCCAGCAGGACTTCAGCTAAGCAAAGCCAACAAATCCTGTTGGCTACAGAGTCCTCACATCTTATGCCATCCTTTCAAATGGCATAGATGAAATTTATATTACGGTTTGGGTATACAATCCAAACCAACTTATAAGAAAGGACAGTTGCCTTACCTGATCAAACAGGGAGCAGAGCATCCTGAGCTGAATGGGGAACACTGCACATTCCATACACATGTTAATGTACAAATGTATATCATCTTTGAAAGTTTATATATCTACGGAGCAAAAGGACCAGACACCAAAACAGACATGACAAAAGCCCAGGCCATCCAGCCTCACTGACTGCCTCAAATGCTGTTTCCCCAAAAATCTGCATTCAGAACAACTTGAAAACACCTAGCTAGGATGGTCCAGCCTCTCAGACTGTTACAGCCAGGACTTCAGTTAAGTCTTGCCTGTTTACATCAGAGGCTGGAGCGAATGTTGCAGTGAGATTTCTTAGGACTTGAACAATATCCTAGGTTCCTTAGGGCCCCCCAAAAGGGAACATCACTTCAACACAGCAGGAAGCAATTTTAGGAAACTGATGCCCCATTCCCAAGAGATGGGGTGGGTGGATTTTGGTCATTGGATGAGTGATGAATGTTTGTCATCCTTTAAGAGAGATTGGTTACAATTTGTTAATGTCTTGAAAAGAGGAGAAACAAAGTATAGCAGGTTAGATTCGGGGATTTATCTCTTTCTCTTTCCTCTCAAATCTTTCCTGGCAAATATTAGGGGAAAGGGCAGAGAAGGGATGAAAAGAAAAAAGGGGGGATATAGGAATAGTAGGATAAAAGGGTAGATTATTGAAGCTACTTTTAAACTAAAGAGAAGCAACAAGCATGGAGCACTTTCTGCAGACATCTTCCCATGTTCCTGGTATCCTCTGCACCGTACTCCTCAACACTTAACAGAAGGTGAGGAGCCTCATCTCTGGCTTTCTTCTGGTGATGCCCCTGGAACCAGTGGCTCTACAGACCAGCTCCACTCGGCTCTGCAATTTTCTCTCCTTTTTGTGTGTATGTTTGTGCACCTGTATGCACCTGTGTGTGCCGGTGGAGTCCAGCGGTTGAGTATTTTACTCAGTACCTCTCAATCTTATTTCTTGAGACAAGGTCTATCGATGGACATGGAGCTCACGGATTCAGCTACACTGACCGACGAGTGAGCCCCAAGGATTCTCATGTCTTTGCTTCTCCAGCACTGGGATCACAGGTATCTACCACTTTACTGGGCCAGTTCCCCAACCCTACTCTTGCCTGCATATATGTTTAGGCACAGTGTACCTGCCTGGTGCCTGGAGAAGACATAAGGGAGCATCAGATGCCCTGGAACTGGAGTTGCAGAGGGTTGTGAGGCACCTGTGGGGACGCCCTTTGGAAGAGCAGCTAGTGCTCTTAACCCCTGAGCCATCTCTCTAGCCGCTCACTTCTCCTTTTGACAGGTGGTATGGTTCCTAACTTCCCGCCTGGCTGTTCAGCCTCTGCTGGGTATCTTGTGGTGGCTCTCTTTCTTTCCCAGCCTCTCCATCTGTCAGATGCTTGAACTTGGCCCTAGAAAGCATCACGAAGCTTAGTGAGAAAGGGTCAGGAGAAGCGGATTCCTGAGCCCGCTACTCTTCCTAGGGACACACTGCTGCGAGCTTCTGTTTATCTCCGTTGAGTTGCTCTACACGGGAGCCAGTGGTTTAAAAGATGACTTCAACGTGGTAGGAAAGGATACTTTATGACGGTAGTTCACAGAATTTTGCGAAAATGAGACACTACGCGAATTTTCAAAGCGGGAACCTAGTCTTGCAAAGGCTGGTCCTTTCACTACTCTAAGTGCAGCTGCCCTGCTGTTTCTCACACTAGTGACTCGTGAGTTCGATTCGCCGCTTCAACTTTTTGGCTCTAGTTCTACCACCGTGCTGCACTACTAAGAACCACCTGACGCACTCGGAGAGCCGCGCAAATGTATTCTGCGCAGGCGCATCGCTTGCGGAAAGCCCTGCTACGCCATTGGCCAATAGACTTATGCATATGTAAATAAAACAGCCCAGGCAGAGGCGGAGGCGGAGGCAGAGGGATCTGCAGTGATTGTCCTTTTGGAGGGAGGATGTGCGTGTATGCTAAAATATCCGGGGCGGAGTCAGGGGCGGGACAAAAGCGTAGCCCTGCGATCCGAACCCCTGGAGGTGGTGCAGCCCTCCAGGACTGGAGCGGGATTATGGGCGGGGCATAGGCTGGCTGAAGAGGCTGAGCAGGACCGGGTGAGCCTCCCCGGTCCCGGGAGTAGGGATCACGGAGCAGAAAGGGACGGAGGAGGCCATGAATGCGGTGGACCTTGGTCGCGTAGGAGCGTGTGTCTTGAAGCATGCAGTGACTGGGGAGGTGAGGCCTGGCAAGGCGCAGGGCGGAGAACGCCTCCTAGCACCTGACCCAGAGCCCTGGCAGCTCACATGGGCTGGAGTGGAGGTCCTGAGGGGCCCTATGAGTTCGCGTACTGGGTGTGGGTGCAGCAGATGGGTCCACAGAGGGACCATCAGGAGGACCAGTCGCTGCGAAGCTTGGAGGAGCACGCTGCGGGACATGTGAGGCAGCCGGGCATAGAGGGTTGGTGAGCCCATGTCCCCACACCGATCCATTCTGTAGGCCGTGGAGCTGCGGAGCCTATGGCAGGAGAAGGCTTGTGTGGTGGCCGGCCTGCGACGCTTCGGCTGCATGGTGTGCCGCTGGATCGCCCAGGACCTCAGCAACCTCCGGAGCATCCTGGACCAACACGATGTGCGCCTAGTGGGCGTGGGGCCTGAGGCTCTGGGCTTGCAGGAGTTTCTGGATGGTGGTTACTTCTCAGGAGGTGCGACACTTCCCAGACTCAGAGCCTGGGCTGTCCTCTCCCTTTCCAGGCCCAACAAGAACATATTCATGTGTCAGCATCTGAGGCTCTTCCCTGCTCTGCCTTCGGCCTGTGCTCTGGCTGGCGCCCAGACCTAGTGGCAAAGTCCCAGTGACTCTTGCCCTTCCCGATTAAGCAGTGGTGACATTCAATCCTGCTGTGCTCCTCCTGGCTTGGGTGGGCGGAGCTAGATACAATACGTGGAGGGGACACAGCTGTGGCTTTTCTTTCTAGAACTCTACCTTGACGAGAGCAAGCAAATCTATAAGGAGCTGGGCTTCAAGAGGTAAGTGTGACTGTTAGGGAACATGAGTCTAGCCAGGGACATGAGGACAGAGCAGCTACTGCTCTTTTAGGCATCTTCTTGCTACCACCGTCTGCTCTGCTGTCCGGTTTGTCTCATGGAAACTGACCCTGGCGCTTCAGCTAGCCCTTCTTTGGGATCTTCTAATGGATGTTGTTCCAAGTCAGACCTGTTCTCAGCAGTCTGCTGTTTCATAAGCAGGAGGGACCATGGAGCCCAGTGCCTTAGCCATGGCCCACTGCAGTCCTCTGTTGCCACAGACTGTCCATCATGATAGGCAGTGCTGGCTAAGCAAGATCCCTGGGCACACCCAGCTTGGAGCTCATTCCCCATACTCCATACCACCTCTCCAGGGTCTCCAGGCCGGCTGTATTCAGCCTGGGGGTTCTCAGGGCTTCTGTAGACCTTCCTGGTTAGACTAGTTGCTGATCTGGCTGAGCCCCGGGTTAGATACGTGGGTGAGGCAGGACACTGGGAACAGATGTGGATACCTGTGCTCTCTACCAGAATCTGGACACCATCTGTCTTTGTAGGTACAACAGCTTAAGTATCCTGCCAGCCGCCCTGGGAAAACCTGTTCGTGATGTAGCCTCCAAGGTTTGTGGTTTGAGAGCATTGGTGGGAATCCCTGGGGGCATTCCCTCCTTGATGTGCTCCCTCTAACAAGAGACCATCTGTAAACAGCCGGTGATGTCTCCTTTACAATATAGACCTTCTCTGGCTTCCAGATTTCATCCCTTGCTCCCCAGGTCTCCAGGTGCCCTGCCAGGTACTGATGTGAGTCACCAGGATATAGATCCAGTCCAGCCCTGGAAGCCCAGTGCACTGAAGTGTGGTCCTGGAGGGTGGCCTCTAGGGACATCGTAGTCTCTTCAGGTTTCCCAACACCAGGATTCTCAGAGACTGATTTTGAACGCTTTCCCCCAGCAACTGTAATTCTCCCTCTGGCCACAGCTTACCCAGGCCTTCCACCTCGCCCACCCACCTGACTCCTGCCGAGACTGACCTGGGTCCTGTTCCTTTTTTTCCAGGCTAAGGCTGCTGGGATCCAGGGGAACCTGTCGGGCGACCTGTTGCAAAGTGGAGGCCTGCTTGTAGTCAGCAAGGGTGAGTCAGGGCAAGACATAGAGCCCCATCTTGCCCAACTTGGGGGTCTGTGTCTTCACGCTCCCACTCTGGTCTTGGGTGAGGGAATGGGCTGCTTAGCTTGGTCAGTGGATTACTCTCACTTCCCAGCACACAGATGCAAGATACACGCAACTGACTCCCTGCCTGTGGTTACAGGTGGTGACAAGGTACTGCTGCACTTCATCCAGAAGTCCCCAGGTGACTATGTTCCCCAGGAGAACATCCTGCAGGCCTTGGGTATCTCTGCAGAGGTTTGTTCCAGCAAGCCACCCCAGGTGAGCAGAGGCCTTGGGGAACACTGTTTGTTACCAACCCTTAAGTATATATAACTGCCTCTGGGACAGTGTGTGGCGTGGCCAGGAGCTGAACTGTGTAGCCTCTTAGGATTTGCATAATTTTCTCTGTGTTGGCAGCTTTGGGAGGTAGATGTGTCTCTGTGAGTCTGGTTGTAGAGGAGCACAGGCTGAGCAGCAGAGAAGCCAGAGGGCAGGCAAAGCAGGGCCCCACTGTGGGTTGAGAAAGGCTAGGCTGTGTTCCTAGGTGTGTCTGTCAGCCCTTAGTGTGGACCTGATGTCCTGTCTCCCATTCTCCATTGGAAGGGGGTAATGCGTGGGTTAGGCTGCTTCCCGTGTCCAGCATGCCTCCTTCTCTTTTTGGGTGTTGGGCACTGAGGAGTGTGATCAGGCTGAATGCCCCTGTTGTCCCCACAGTGTGATGAAGAGGTGTGTGGGAGGTGACACGTGCCCTCTGAGGACCTGGAGGCACCAGCAACCTCGGATGTGTTTGGACTACAAAGAATCCTTGTGGAGCCCTTGGGCCAGGATGTTGGACCTTGTTCATCTTTGAACAGCAACAAGCCATTAAAGTGCAAGCCCTGGGCAGTGAGCATCTCCGTGCTTCCACAGTGCGTCCCTGTCATTTGACAGCACCGTTGCTCCCTGTAGGCAGGAGGGGTGTCAAAGTGTAATCTTCCTAGAGGACAGACTTCAGGCCTTGGTTATGGGACCCTGGGGACAACCATGTCATTTCTTTCCAAGGTGACCTAATGCTGTAGCTCACTTCTTTTGAAGACATAGAGTCAGGCTGAGGATATGGAGGTAAGAGTTTGGTAGGACTCTGGTCCCAGCCCCTAATGGAGCCCAGTTGTGGGGACCAGGGAGGCAGGTGTCTGCCCGAGTCTATGGTGGAAGGCAGGAGGGTAATTGGGTTCAGAGATGCCAGATGAAGGCTGAGGAACCCTTCCCTGATCTGAATGGCTGGTGTGTCCTGGGAGAAGCCTGGGTCAGGCTGAGTGTGTCTGTGTCCCCAGGGTCCTAAGGTCCAAGCAGAGCGCCAACACCCTACCATTTCAGACCTCCCCTTGTCAAGGGATCTTCCCTCGAGGTGGGCCCTGATGATCAGATTAGCACTTTCTAAATCCAAGCCAGGGTGACTACAGGGTCTACCTTGATGTGCTCCCACTATCCAGAGACCATCTGTAAACAGCCGGTGGTGTCCCCTTTACAATCTAGACCATCTCTGGCTTTGAGATTCCATCCCCAGGTCTCCAGGTGCCCTGCCAGGTACTGATGTGAGTCACCAGGATGTAGATCCAGCCCAGCCCTGGAAGCCCAACGCACTGAAGTGTGGTCCTGGAGGGTGTCCTCTAGGGACATCCTGGTCTCTTCAGGGTTTCCAGCACCAGGATTCTCAGCGGCTGGTCTTGAACCCTTTCCCCCAGCAACTGTAATTCTCCCTCTGGCCACAGCTTACCCAGGCCTTCCACCTCCCCACCCACCTGACTCCAACATGTACAAAGCAAAGTCTTCTTTGAAGTGTTTACTTTAGCTCAAGTCTGAAGCTCCAGGACATTTAGCCACACACTATGGAGAGGGTGGAAGACAGCTGACTGTTCCTACTGAGCTGCTGACCCTCACTGGCCTGAAGGGGCGCAAGACCAGACACCACTCATCCCGGGTGCGGGCGTGTGGCTGTACTCTAGGCTGGGCGCGGAGGGCTGGCTTGTGGCTCCGGTGGCCTTCAGGCAAAGACCTGCATATCTCTGCCAGCTACACCGTTCAGGAAGCCTCTGGGTGGCGGGGCGTGGGCCGCGGCATAGCTCAGCCTTGGCTACCAGATGCGACATCGCTTCATGGGGTGCATGGGGCTGCCTCGTGGGCAGTGGAATGCCTCAGAGAAGCCTGGCAGGTTCTGTAGTGAGCCCAGCACCCTGTGGACCAGTAAAAGGAGGTCTGAGATGTGGGGAGGGGCCCAGGGCCGTGGTGGGGTAACATGCTAGCTTGGGGACCGCACACTTGCCTGTACTTAAGAGGACTGTGGACGTCCGTCTTGATAGACTGGATGGCGAACTCCGGCCTGTAGGACCCACACCACACCTGGAGGTACGTGGGTGGTCTGGTTACTGGCACGAGGGCCGAAGCAGCACCCTTTTGCACTAGGAAGTCCTTACCTCCCTAAACTGCTGTTTATAGGGTGTGGACACAGAGGCCAACAGATCCTTTCCCTCCCTCCACATCTGCTGCCTTCTCCCCAGCTGGCAGTTTGGGGGTGTGGCAAGCTCATGGTACCCTTGGAGGTACTCTATAGCGGACCCTCCAAAGCTGAGAGTGGGGACCAGAGACTAGGTCCCTACTGGGGGGTCACCTGGGCATAGTTGATGAAGAAAAGCTGGGCATAGGTCAGGTTCAGTCCCGGCAGTCGCTGATCTTTGCCGCCTTCAGCCAGCCACTGTAGGTAAGCCTGTGAACACCAAAATGGGGCTGGGTCTAGCCAGGCTTCCAGAGAGCCACATGCAGAATGATCTGGTTCCAGGACCTGCCCTGGGTGGGTTCCCTACCTTCCAAGCTTAGAATAAGATGTGTATAAGCCAGCTGTTTCCTCTGCAGCCATCTAAAAGCCTGTCCAACAGGGCTTTGTGAGACTCTCAGCCAGAGAGCTGGCCCCTGGAATCCACCCACATGGGATCCTGGTACCCAGTGCTTCCTTCCTTCCTTCCTTCCTTCCTTCCTTCCTTCCTTCCTTCCTTCCTTCCTTCCTTTCTAGATCTATTTATTTATTTTATGTGAGTATGCTACTCACTGTCTTCAGACGCACCAGAAGAAGGTATCAGGTCCCATTACAGATGGTTGTGAGCCACCATGTGGTTGCTGGGAATTGAACTCAAGACCTCTGGAAGAGCAGTCAGTGTTCTTAACCACTGAGCCATCTCTCCAGCCCCAGTGCTTTCTATCCCGAGGCTGTAGATGTGGACTGCTGAGACCCGTGGTCATGTCATCTCTACTGTGTATACTCGTTAGGAGTGGCTCCTGTAGCAGCCCACATGTGAAAATGTGGAAGACTCCAGGTATATGACCATTAGATACAGCTTCCTCCCCAGTTCAAATGGAGGGTTTTTAGGATACAGCCCCAGGTTGGGCATGGCCCTGCCTTGTTAGGACTAATACCAGTTCCTCCAAGGGCCCCCTAGGGCCCACCTTGTATGCCTGTCGCACACCACCGTTGTCCGCAATGTTCTCCCCGAGGGTGCTGAATCCGTTCACCTGCATAAAAAAGACAGGATGGAGGCCAGCTGGTCCCGGGCCCCTCTTGTCCTGTGGGGCCAGGGCTGGGTACAGTTGCAGAGCCAACACGGCACTGGTGACGCACTTACATTTTGGTTGTTTGCTAGTTCCCAAGAGAAGTTGCTGTACTGGTAGATCATGCACTGCGACTGCAGTTTGAAGTGCCGGGCTGAGAAGTTGCTCCACCAGTCCAACATGTTGCCGTTCTTGTCAAAGTTACGACCTGCGCGGGAGCGGAGCGCAGTGCATGCGCACTTGGGGGCATGCACACTGTTCCCAAGGCCCCTGTTTTCACTGCCCCACTGCACCCTCTAACAAAGCCAGCTCGGTGCTTGGGTGGTTATAAACTTGCTCCAGCAACCAGGGTTCAGGGGTTCCAAGCACATAGCGCCATGTTGGGGTATAGCTTCCACGCCACCCCATCCTTGCCCCTGAAGTTAGGACCAGGAGTCTCAAATTTCGCTTATCCAAACCCAATGGAGGAGCACATGGCTACCCTCCTATGATCCCTCTGGTTAAACCATGTTGGAGAAACAGCTAAGACATCATCGATGGTGTCAGGCCCTAAGAGTCAAATGGGGCAGCCCCTTTGGGGATGGAGACTAGGCGAGGCCTCTGACTAACTGTTAAGAAACCGAATGGAGGATCCTGACCTGCTCAGTGGGTTGGGGCGTTCCCGTAGGGCTCCTTTTACCGTTATCATCGAAGCCGTGTGTGATCTCGTGACCGATCACCATCCCGATGCCGCCGAAATTCAAGGACTGTGGTTGGTCCTTGCTGAAGAAGGGTGGCTGGAGGATCCCTGCTGGAAAGACTGTCCCCGCAGGGTGAAAAAGATGAGCTGTGAGTGAGCACCTCCACTGGGCCCTGTCATCTGAAGCTAGGACTCCCACCCAATGTACAGGCAAGGAAGTAGATACCAAAACAGGAGTGTTGGATTGAGAATCTATGCCCAATTTCTCCCTGCCTACTGCTGCCTTCTGGAAAGTGCTCCCTGATGTTTCCACTGTGTCCCTCCTGACCCACAACCCTTGAGGTGGACCATAGGGCAACATGACATCACCTGAACCCCACTCCCCTTTCTGAGAATAGACAGAGTTTCCTGGGCAAGGGTGAGGGGCTGTACTGGAGAGACGAGGTGGGCTTACCGATCTGGTTTCTGTTTGGGGAGTAGAATGCATTGACCACTGCAGCCCCGATGATCCAGCTGTGGTAAATACACTGGTCATTTGGAGTCCACATCTTCCAGGATGCTCCCTGTGGTCCCTCTGCCCTGGCTGACCAGATCCTGCCCTGAAGAGGTCTGTGGCAGCGTGGCCAGCTACTACTGTGGCATCCTAAGCCAATCCCAAGGTCTGGTTCCTCTCTGAGGCCCCCAAAGCAGAGGATGCTGGGGAGGAGGAGGACTTAGGTCTAGCGTCCTCTTTGGCTGGCATCAGGATAGATTCATGTAGCCACCCTTACCCAGTAGGTTGAGTCGTGTGTACCAGGCTAGCCCATGTAGCCATTCTACTCACAGATTCTGGTCCACCTTTTCCCGAAGCTTCTTGAGGCTCCTCTGGGCATTGTTCTTTAGGTTCTGAAGCCCGTTCTCAAAATACAGGTCCTCCGAGAAAGTCAACTGTGAGAAGAAAAGAGTTTCATGTGGCTGGCACTCAGGCTGAGTCCTTGAGAGTGTTAGAGGAGGGACTGAGGGTTGGGGAAGGGTCTCAAGACACAAAGGTCAGCTGGGCAAGTGACCCTCAGACTCTTGGAGGAGATACATGGGGAGGGTACCCCGACTCTGAACATTTATGTGATTTTCAGAAAGCTCGGTTTCTCTGGGCCTCAGTTTCCCCATCTGTAAACAGGGTGAGGTTAGAGCCACACCAGGGTGTAAGAATGTAGCTGAATGAACTAAGAGAGTAGAAGGATGCCTTACATGAAGTCCCTCCCTCCCCAGGGGGGTGGATCAGAACAGGGGACGGGGGTGGGGGAGAGTGGGCAGGGAATGCTCCCGAAGAAGGTACACACACTGGAGTATTCCTCATCCAGGTGTCTATTGTTATCTTCCAAAATGTAGTCAGGGTAGCCGATCTGTTCCCGGATATTCATGGCCTGAGCAGAGGAAGGACTAGAGTCATCCACCGCGGGAGATACCCCAGCCCCACATGCTGGCTCTGTTCCCTGCTGCTTTGGCAAGGGGATAACAGACAAGTTCCCCTCCACCAGCTTGCAGAGCTAGGCAAGTAAATGAGTCTAGTGACTGGTTTATCAGTGGCCCCAGAGGAACTTGGATAGGTCCTAGCCTCAGACCACAGAGCCCCCTTCTGTTTCCTGTGGATTACCCAAGCATGGCACCTATCCCAGCTTCCCTCCCACTAGGGCTGGTCCTTCAGCAAGGGGTCTTGACTGCAGGAACTCCCCTGGGGATATCACTCTGGTTGCAGCTTGCCCACCTTTTCCTGAGCCTTCTTCTTGGATTCTTCATCCATCCAGTTCAGCTCATCCAGGTTATCCACAAACACGGACCTTACCTTCTCAATCAGCTCTCTGACCTGGGGGAAATGTGTATCCTCATGTCCTACAGGGCGTGATTCATGCGCCAGGCTTTGTCTAGGACACTTTTTAGGAGGAGGCCAGTGCCACCCTGGACCTGACCTCCTGGGAGAGTGTGACATTAATGTAGGTGACTGTTGTGAGCCGACTCCTAGCAGAAACCGGCTATCATCTTTGCAGCCATTTCAGGCCATATACCCTGACAAGAGACTTGTTTTCAACAGCCTACAACAGCTGAGCACACTCTGATAAACATCTTGTTACACTGTTTAGTGCCGCCAGCTGCAAGGTGCACTTAGTATCCATGGCTACGATGTAGTGCCTTCAGTTGAGCTTGTCCACAAGGGCAAGTCACGTGGTAAAGGGTATAAACACCCAGGATCTTCCTTAAAATAAGAGAGACTTGAAGAGACTTGACCAGACTCTGTCTTGTATCCATCTTTTGTGTCTCTCACCCCTCCATCCCCACTCTCTTTCTTGTTAGAGCCTGACCTGAGGACCAGAGCAGCAGAACAGGCCATTACAAAGTAGCAGAATGGGCTGTTACAAAGAAATGGACCATTACAGATGACCATTCTGGCTCAGGGTTGTAGCCTAGCGGAAGCTTGCTTACACTAGGCACAGAACCCATACAGCCTGTGCCTTTCCTAGGGGCCTCACAGGGTCCAGAGTTGGAACTCAGGGTCAGAAGCACTTAGAGGTGGGATTTGTTTCTCTTGGTCTTCCTCTGATCTATGTGGCATTAATGCATATTACTTGAGTCATCAACTTCAGGGAGAGAATAGGGGTTGAACTGACCGTGTATGGGAGTCACTGGGTGGGGCGGAGATGATGGGGACTGGAATTCTTGACAGGTGGCTGACCCAGGGTGAGCCTGAGAGCTGTCACAGGCGGTGCCCATTTGGATACACACCGTACTCTTGCTGTCCTTGGAGAAGGCCCGCTTGATGTAGAGGGAGCCCACGGCGCTCTCCATGTTGCTGTTGACATAGCTGACACACTCCCGCCAACGCACCTCCTCCACAGTTGTGCCGTACAGCGCCTGGTGTGTTTCTTTATTCACTCACTCGTTCGCCCACTCACTCTTTCCCATGTGCTAATATCTAACTTTCCCAGGTCTGGTATGGGGCCCTGAGCTGGTGAGGCAGGCAGGTCTCTTCCACCATGGGCTTCAGGGTACCCAGAGCGGGACACGGGATGACCGAGACCAGATGCTGCCCCTGGACATGAGAAGGCACTTGTCTTTACTCTGAAAAGGCCAGAGTCCCACTCAGGCTCTGCTCTCACCCCCTGGATACTGTGGTCTATGTGGACTTTTTTCCAAAGCTTAGGGCTAACATTGATCCTGGAGCAAACGCTTGGAAATATGCATAGCTTTGGCTACCAGCTCTCTAGATCTGGGTTCCCCTCGTGGTAGTGGCTGTAGTGTTCCCTTCCTCTCAGCCCCCAGAGATGCTGAAGCATAAGGTATATTCCCTTCAGACCTGGTCCCTGAGCTCAAACCAGGCCATAGAGAACTCTGCACCCTGCGACTCCTTCTTGAATCGTGGGTGTCCTGCCCATAAAGAAGCCTTGTGGCTGTTTCTCTTCTCCAGCCTCTTGCCCTTTCTAGTCTCTCTTCCTGGTCCCTCTTCTGGCCACACTTGCTTTTGACAGCTCAGGCTTCTGCTTTGTTGGCTGCTGGCCATTGACTGCCCTAGTAGGGCAGGGCCCTTATCTACCAGGTTCCCATCTCAGACCCAAGGGATGACAGTGCATGACCCTCAGTTTCATGGGCTGAAATGGACTCTGGAAGGCTTGCCTGGGCCGGAGCTTCATCTCCAGGATGCACTCACCTTGCGGTAGTCCACCCGGGCTTCTTTGAATCTCTGGCTCAGGCTGCCAATGCGATCTAGTATCAGGCGCCACACCAGGTAGTTCTGCATGGTCCTAGAGGAAGCACAGGTTAAATGAGATAGGTGAATGGCTGTCTGGCAAGGAAGAGAGGGGACATGGGTTAGCCAGCAGGTTTCACAGCATGGTTCTCGATTCTCCAAGAGTTAACCCTGCTTATCCCTCATGCTTTACAGAGCACTCATTACCAGGGTGAGGCACTGTGAACACCAAAATTGAACCTCTGTGTTCCTCATGCTGGAGAAAAAGTGCTGGATAGGATCTTCTCCCGGAAGCAGTAACTGTGTGTGTGTGTGTGTGTGTGTGTGTGTGTGTGTGTGTGTGTGTTGTGGGCCAGGGACAAAGATGCTGGGGCCCTGTGGAACTTCCCCTGGGCTCACTGTGCAGGGTAGATATCAATGATGTCCTCAAGATTCTCCAGGTAGGGGATGCCATAGACCACCACTTCCTCATCCGGGAGCAGCTCGACTTCGACAGAAGACAGCACGTTTTGTATGAAGAGAGTCCAATTAAACCCCTGTAGAGAGAGAGGTAGGGGAGGAAGAAAGGGGCGGGCAGCCCATGCATGTAGGAAACCCAGGTCTCACTAAAGAACGTTCGGGAAACTGGAGAAAGGACTGTCAGTAGGACCAAGAGTGACCAACATTTCTCCAGAGGCTGAGAAGCTGTCAAGAGTCTATGCATAATATTTGAAAAATTAAGTGTAGTTGGCGAGAAAATGCTGAGCAAGTGTGACTTAGCAAAAATGACCCAAGTAAAAATATGACAGTCTTACGTATATATACTACGTAAGTGGGATATTGATTTTTGTTTAAACATTTTTTTAAGTACTCATGCTGAAGACTGAACACAGGATGTCATACATGGTAGGATGGAGCTCCATTACTAAACTCTCCCTGTCCTATGGTCATGGTTACTCTTAGTAAATATTCCACAGTGTTGAGCTTAATGGTGTAACTTTAACTACTTTGTGAAAAAATGTTTTGAGACATGACCTCTACTCAGGCTGGCCTAGAACTGCTCTTGAGAATGCTTTGAGGAGCTTATGTGTGCGGTTTTTTGTTTGTTTGTTTGGTTGGTTGGTTTTTTCGAGACAGGACTTCTCTGTGTGGCCCTGGCTGTCCTGGAACTCAGAGATCCACCTGCCTTTCCCTCCTGAGTGCTGGGATTAAAGGCCTGCACCACCATGCCTGGCTTGAATTTATTGCTTAACTGAAGATTTATTTTAATTTTTTCTATGTGTGTGGGTAGTGTGATTGCGTATCTGTGGGTGTCTGTGGAAATAAGAAAAGAACACTGGATCCCTGGAGCTGGAGTTGTGAGCTGCCTGGGGTGGGTGCTGGGAACTGAATGCTGGTCCTCTGAAAGTGCAGGTTCTTAATCCCTGAGTATTGTCTATAGCCATGACCTTCAAATCCAGGGACATGGGACGAGATACACTGGGTGTGATGAGGGCTCTCTTAGGCTTTTTCTGTCCTGTCCTTGGACAGAGAAATATAGATCCAAGTGCTTATTTAGATGTTCTGGTCAGTAGGGAGGGGCCGCAGGCCCAATCACTTACTTCTGACCCGGGCCCTGTCCCAGCCCTGTCCTCTCTCTGACACGGCCTTTTAGAGCAGCTCTATCTTGTCCTAGGGAGGAGGCCTGTCCCAGGGCAACAATGGTTGTCCTGCTGGAATCTTCCTATTTTAAGATTTATTTTTCATTCATATGAGTAAACTGTAGCTGTCTTCAAACACACCAGAATAGGACATCAGATCCTATTACAGATGGTTGTGAGCCACCATGTGGTTGCTGGGAATTGAACTCGGGACCTTTGGAAGAGCAGTCAGTGCTCTTAACCACTGAGCCATCTCTCCAGCCTGTACTCGTTTAAAGGTACTTTCTACCTGAGTGCCAACCATAATACCCCATTAGAGCCAGGAGTAGCTTTCCAGGGAATGAGTACCCAGATGGGTTGGGGCTGGGCCAGTGGGTGGGTGCCTGGGCCTCACCTTCAGACCAAACCTGTCCTGCAGCTCCAATAGGTCCATTCGGTGGTACAGTGCGGTGACATCATGCCTTTTCTCCTGGGGTACTGTGGCCTGTGTGGGGACCAGGGGTCACATGGTGTGGTACTCAGCACCTAGCCCGAGCCCCCCAGCACAACCCTGCCTCACGTTGGCCAGATGGGTCTCCAGATCCAGCACCTGTGCCATTTCCTCCCGCACCATGGTGCTCTCCGTGGGCAGGTTCAGGTCTTTCCGCAGCATAGTGGCCACCGACGTCATGAACTGCAGGTAGGCTTCCCGGACCTGGGACAAAGGGCAATGGATGGAGCTGGGTGGCTTTAGACACCTGGGCCACCGTGGAGCACTCTGTGGGAGTGGGGGTGGGGTTGGGGGTGGGGGTGGGGGCAGGGTGTGACATGGAGCAGCCCCTGGAAGCTTGCCCTTCTAGCTTCCCCAACAGGCTCCAGCACAGAGAGCACAGAAGAGAGCATGGGGACTGTCCACACTTGATACCCCTCGAGGGACAAGCCTGCATGATAGCCTTTGTGTTCTGTGGTCTGGGCCTACTTCCTAAACTTGGTATGGAGTCACATGCCCTGGCTATGCCAGCCAGCCAGCTCAGGACCAAAACTGTGGTCCCTGTTCATTTTCATTGGATGACCCATGACCAGGCTTGGTCTGTGGGTCAGGACGGTTTTTCAGTGCCAGATTGGCCTCTGCAGACACTCTGTGAGTTCTGAGCTATTGGTGTCATGCTGAGGCTGCCCCAGCCAGGATTCAGCCATGGGTGGGAAGATGTTTGTCTATCCACCTGGACATCCTTCTTCCTTCATGGCCGTTCTTGCAGGGGCTTCCTTCACTCTAGCTGAAGCTGCAGACTACTCCTCCACTAGTGCTTAGCTCTGCCAGCTACTAGGTTGAGGGCCACACACACTCAAGCTTTTGGGATGTTCCAGGCCCAATTGTCTGTATCCTGCCACCTTCTCCCAGCCCCCTTCTTTGACCACACCATCCTTCCTCTTGGTCCCAACCACCTGTCAGATCTCGGCAGCTTGATGCCCATGAGCACTTCAGCCCTACAGTGTGGGTCACTCCTGCCTCCTGCCCACCCCTACTCTGTTCCTGGACAGATATCCTTGCTGTCTCTGCCTCCTTTCTGTCCCTCCAAGTTCTTCCTTCCACTGTGGTCTACTTAATAGTTGACTTCTCTCCACAGATGCAGGAGCTGACTCTACATAACAGGCTTGTGGCCTTTGCCCACCCTAGGCTGAGATCTGGGCCTCCCAGACACTGGACGTCATTCTGCATGGGAGAGTCAAGTTAAATGGGTCATCTGGGGCTGGAGAGGTGGCTCAGCGGTTAAGAGCACTGACTGCTCTTTCAGAGGTCCTGACTTCAATTCCCAGCAATCACATGGTGGCTCACAACCATCTGTAATGAGATCTGATGCCCTCTTCTGGTGTGTCTGAAGACAGCTACATTATATGCACATAAATAAATACATAAGTAAATAAATCAATCTTAAAAAAAAATGGATTGCCTGTCTGGATGAGCTCACTCACCTCAGGACTGACATAAGTGTGGAAATTGGGCATCTGGTTTGGGAAGCAAGGCTAGTGGACAAACATGAGTGCTGAGCCTGGGTAGGCCCAAGACATGTGACATGTGTACATCTGTATCTGAGCCCTCAAGGCTCCCTGCTTACCTTGTGGTTGTCCTCCTTGAAATAGTACTCCCGAGATGGCATGCCCAAGGTGGGCTGGTCTATCTGGAAACACACAGAAGGTGTGACTCCTGGAAGTATGGGGGGATCCCCGCAGCCTAGCTGAGACGGGCAGAAGTCCCCTCCCCCAGGACTGTGCCTGGTAGAACACAGGTTCCCTGTGGAAGGCAGATGCTTCCAAACCCAAGCCTTTCCCTGACAGAGAGAGGGGGTTGCAGGTTGGGACTTGCAAGGAGGTCAGAGAGGGGCTGGATGGGGCATAGGTCCCCCACAAGAAGGACTCACATCACTCAGTCTACCTACCTAAAGTATGCTTCTCTGACCTTCCTTCTACGGCTCCTGCAGGCTTCCTGCCCAGGTGCCAAAACCCTCACAATGGGTAAGAAACAGGCTAAACACAGGGTCAGTCTCTCTGCTTAGCACAACTCACACTGCAGACTAAGCTGTGGGCAGGGAACACATGCACCAAGCTCACAGATCTCCCCAGCCACCATCCTGGTGTCTCTCCCTGCTTTGCTACCAAAGTCCAGCGTTGTTAGGCACGAGGAGCCTGCTGACCCTGTTCCCCACCCTGACTCCCCGAGGATATCGCATACGTAAATGACGTGCCGGCTGGAGTTCTGGTCGTCATTCCAGATGAAGAGGTCAATGAGGATCCGTCTGTTGAACTGGGAGTTCAACACAGCCAACTGCCGCTCCAGCTCCCACTTGGGGCCTGAGGAGTTAGCACCCATGCTGGAGACCAGCTAGCCCATCTCCAGACAGGGAACTGCCGCCTAAGCACAGAGCATTCTGGGGGTATAGGGAACCCTGCCTGGCTCAGGTAGTGAACTCACTGTGGGACTTTGGGGACTGAGGGAATGTTTTCCAAGCGGTCCTTAGGGAAATGGGTTCTGAGGGAATCACCCTGTGTGGGTGGGAGAAGCCGTCTAAGGGACGAATAGAGGGATATGAAGACTGGCGTCTAGAACACCAGGAGGGATTCTGCAGAGCTTCAGAGAACCAGCCGCAGTGAGCACTTGTCTCAGCTGCCCTCCCTACTTCCCCTCAGTGTGGATCCTAAGTCAGCTTTTGGGACCCTACATTGGCTCTGGAAGGAACGAGCTCTTGGGACTTCCCAAGAGCAGGTGGTTAGCTTGTGGGCAGCTTTGGGGTTGGGTAGACCTTTCCCTGAAGTATGCAAACAGGGCCTATACTTACCCACAGTTTCGTTCCACTTATCCATGGCCACAGGCCAACCTCCTACCATATTTAAGACGTGCAGCAGGGGCTCAGAGTCTCTCTTCTCTATCACACCTGGGAAGGGGAGGCATGTGTCCTTACTCAGACTCTGCTGGCTCAGGTGCCATGACACAAGCCAAGAGCATGCTCTCTTTGTAGGTTCAACTTTAACTCCAACGTTGCTGGTGAAGTACACACTTCCCTGGGATCAAGGAGGTTGGGTACTTGGTAGCTGGCAGCTGGTGAGCAAGCCTAGGAAAGGAGTTGTGGCTGGGAGGGAGGCCCAGGGGCAGAAGGTCACGCAGGGGCCGTGTGACTTGCATCTATGGCAAGATGGCAGTCTAAAGACTTGGGCTAAGGAAAGTCCCTCTAAGGAAGTGCTTTTCTGACAGTAAACTGGAGAGAACTCCAGGCAAAGACTAAGCCGACAGGGCGCATCCAGAAGTCACCACAGACACAGAGGAGAACTCTCAGATGACAGAAACCACACTTCAGAGCTGGCAACAAGAAGGGGCTAATGTCCATGTCAAGGCATGTGGCAGAGACTGAGGGGACACAGGGTTGGGACAAAGGTTTGGCAGAAGAGGAGGAGCCACGTGGCTCCTCCGATGGAGGGTACTAGCCTCAAGATGCCGTGGGTGGGAGACAAGAGGTGAGGCCTCCCATGGGGCTCGATGATGGCATATCTGGCTTTCTGTTTCAGCTTAATTTGGAAGTAGGGACAAAATTAGAGAAATAGGTAGTCCTGGCTGCTTCGGCCAAATGGAGCAGGGTTCTGTGTTGCTGATGGACCTTTACTGAGGTTGGTGGGCTAGAAGCAGAGGAGCAGGCTCAGGGCCCTGCTGTCTGCTTTGGGAACCCAGACTCTTGGGCTGGAAATTTAATGAAGGTGCAAATCCAGAGGGATTTTTCTGTGTCTGGTACATATTGGCCATACGATTTGGGGAGATAGGATAGCCCTGGATAGGTCCAGGTAGGGGTTCCAATAGAGATGACTTCATAAAATCATGGCCCCACTGACTCCCATTGGCGGTACACTGGACTTAACCTCAAACATCTCAAACCTTTAGGAGATGCCCAGCGGAAACAGCTGGGCCCAACCACGCCATTCAGAAATGATGACCTTGGGCAGTGTTAAGCACAGGCTAGGGATTCAAAGCCTAATGAGCCAGACCAGGCGAGGCACAGCACTCAGACGTTTCTGTGTGTATCCTGCATGGTGCCCACTCTCTCCTCAGGGTGTTCAGTGTGTGCCGTGATTCTGGAGCTGACTGGGCCCTGGCAGGGGGTGGTTCTACTCACTTTGGTTCATGCAGGATCGGTATAGTGTCTTGGCCTTCTCCACAGCTGGGCGGTGCTGGACACTGGAGTCCTCCAGCACCCCTGTGGGCAGAGGAGAAAGCTGAACAAAGGTTGAGGTGACTGTTGAGGGCCCAGGTCAACAACTCATGTCTCCTGTAACCCTTGGTCTCTTCTGGCCCTAGGTAAGCATCCCAGGGTTCCCGCTGACAGACAAGGGGCTTCATCGGGCTGAGCAGAGACACCACAGCTCATTTCAACTCCTAAGCAGTGATATCTCCACCATCCCTGCTAATCGAGATGTTTCGCAGGAACCCACCCAAGGTTCGACGCCACCTCCCTGCTCTCCGGTGGTGGCCACTCTTCACCTTTGAGGATGACCTCCAGCTCATCCCGAAGGATGTCAAAGACGCTGTATCGGGAGTTGGTCTCGGGGATCACATGGTGCCGAAGCCAGCCTCCGCATGCATACTGGTAAAAGTTTTCACAGGGGTTTCTTGATTGGTCCATGTTCTGGAGGATTCTGGCAGCTGTTTATTCCAAGGGGGTGGAGGGAGGAGAGGAGACTCAATTGTGGACACCTCAACACTTGTCTCTGAGTCTGAGAGACAGCGGCACCCCTTTGGGGATGGTTTGTTTGAGATTTATACCAACAATCAGCTTACTGGCAGCTACCAATCTGCTCTTGGTAGAAAGTTAGTCACTTTCCCCGAGCCACAGGGAGTCTAGAAACATGGGAGGAATTGCCCAAGTGGCTTCAAGGGGTAGGGCTGCCACTAATAAACCACAGGACCTTGAACTCTCCTGTCTTCTCCCACCTGAGGACCTGATATTGGAATATGGTTCCTGCTCTGAAAAAGGCCTCAGCTGGTGACCTTGCCCTCTAAACTGGTACCAGGCTCCCAGATGTCTCCATAGCCCTTCTGCGTCTTGTAGTCTCAGTGGCTTCTCACTCCATGTCCTTGAGGTTTCTTACTTATCAGATGGGATAGCTGTTTCCCAGAATCCGGTGTATGTTGGTGACAAGGGCCTGAGCTTATTTGCACAGCGCTCTGCCCAGGAACCCCTAGAATCCTGCCCAGCTGTTCATCTTGGCCTCACGTAGCTTAAGATTTCGTAGAGAGCAACACTGTGGGACTCCAAGATCCACCCAGAGAAAACCATATTCTGTGTGTCTCTGTAGGCTTTTTCTCCTCCTGTCTTACCTCCCCACAAAATCTTGTCTGTTTCTGCCTCCTGCAGAGTGCTGTCCATAGCACCCAATTTTAAGACAAAAGTCTCAGCTTGGCTTCAGGCAGCCCCTGAATAGCCTTGTGGCCACGCCAGGGGGAGAAGCTCACCTGCTATCACGCAGCCTGGGGTGGTGCAGATGTCACTTTTCTGTGATGACTCCCTGAGGGCTGGAGGAACAGAAGAAGCAAGAGGCGTGCAGAGTCAGAGGGTTCTACTTAGGTTGGGGGGGGCGTGGTGGGGTATAGCAGGGGCGGGGTAGGTGGGGCAGGCCTCTATTTGTCCCCACCCTCCATCGACACCTCCAGGATAGGTTTGAAGCATAGCCTTGCTGCAGCGACCTGGAATCCCCTTTAAATTCTCTGCCTCTGTGGACCCCTACCGTGGCCCTGGACCCTTAGGGCTTGTGGTTGCTCATGCCCTGCTACCTTGCTGTCCCAGCAGCTCTAAGGTGCTATGCTATCCCACTGTATCCTTACCCTGTGGTTAGTACATTCATAGGTGGTATCAAGCCAGCCTCATGGGTGGTACCCAGCTGTCCCCAGACATCCTACGTACAGCAACTACTGGCAACTGGTATCAGTATCCTCTCTTCCCCATCCCTCCTCTGCTCCCTGCCCATCCACATGACCCCACCTATGGCAGGTCCAGATGCTAAGCCCACCTCCTCAGGGCTGCCTGGCAGGGAAGGTAAAGGCTACCTCGTTTTACAACCGTCCTGTCATTCCGGGAGAGGTGCAGCAGGTTAGTTAAGAAGGGCAGCTGTTTCCCTGGGGAGAAACACAGTGCTCAGCCCCTCGGTCCACCTCAGAGCCTCAGGAACCATTGCATGTCAGCACTCAGGGCTATGGTGTTCACCACACATCAGGGAACGGAGGCAGGGGAACTGTGTCTACTTGTCCTCTTCTCTTCCTCCTCCTCCTCCTCCTCCTTCTCACACTTCCTGTTAGGCTTGAGTGGGAGAGGGGAAGCTTCCCCCTAGCTCTCCATTCCCATTTTCTTGTCCTTCCTGAACTACCCAGGCTTTGCCTATCTTCCTGGGATGTGCCTACAGAAGGCTGCTCTTGCAGCCCGGCCACAGGAATAAATAGGGTTATTTAGGAAAATTGGGTCCTTGCAGGCAGGGAGCTTCCCTAGTGGCAACCCTCACCGCCCCACAACTTCTGTATTCTCACTGCCTGCTGAAGGTTCAAGGCTACCCCCCCTCCGACCCTGTCCCGCCACTATATGTAAGGAGAGACACTGTTTAGCATGGGAGTCTTCAGGACCTGGAAGGAGGTTTGGGAGACAGCAAGAGTAGATAGAGAGCATGCTAATAAGAAATGAGAACAAGACCCAGTTGGATGTTACAGTGAGGAGCAACCAGCTCGTGTCAGCTGCCTGGAGTAGGTGAGAGTTGGAGGAGCAGCCGGCTCCCACCAGCTCACCTCAGCTCTGTGTGTAGCAGATAAGAATGAAGCAATAGGCAGTGACGTAGTACTACAGAGTGACTGCCTCTTGTAGCTAATAAAAGCAGAGGCTCACAGCAGACAAGCAGAGACCTTGATGCTGGGACAGTGAAGACCGTTGTACCGTCTGGCTCTACAACCAGAGGACAACCGACTGCCGCTTGGCTGCATTGAGATAAAAGGATCCAGAGGAAGGAGCCTTATCTGTGAGCCTCTCCGCCATTTGCTTCTGAGCTAAGCACTCCGTGCGTGTGTTGTGAACTGCCGCTTATCACTGTAATGAATAAACCTTGAGATCAAACGGTATCTGGACTCTGTCTCTCCTTCCCAGCTTTAAGCTGAACGTGACTCTCGACAGCAAGTCGAGCCTGGATGTCTTCGGACCTGGTGTGTGGTATTGAGATTCCCCACAGTCAGACACACAGACCTGTGAGGAGGAGGGAATATGATTGTATATGCAGGGCTCCTGGTACAGTTAGTGTAGACGGTGCTGCCAACAGTGGGTGCTCCTTGGGGCTAGGCAATGTGGAAGGCCATTTGCTCCACATATGAGGCTGTTACAAACCAGACCTGACTTAGCTATGATAACAATGTGGACTCTGTCCTTGAGGAGCCTACCCCTTCACCCTAATCTTGTGGGGCTACCGAGGGAAACATTTCAGGGGGAAATCTGAGCTCCAGGGACAGGAAAGTTGACCCTTCAGATCTGCAATGAAAGTGGGGGGGGGTGTCAAGGGAAGGAGTAGGGTCCTTGAGCTCCTGCTGCTTTATAGGGGTGTGGCCATCTCAAGAACAGAGCCTGAGGGTGAGACACTGGACCTTAGACCTCACAGAGTCAGTCACTCCTCCAGTGAGAGAATTCGTGACCAGGAGAAAAAAAGTATCTGCAGACTCAGCACCCACACCTCAACATGGTGCACAAACCTCTGAAGCTACCTCTGGAGAGATTAGAACATCACAAAGAAGGTGTAGACACAGAAGCACAAAAGAACCCTCCTCTTTCAACAGAAGACTAGCCAGGCCGGAGCACAGGAAGGGAGGCTGTGCTGCAAGGCAGGTCACACGTATGTTTCCATCTTCAGTGTTCTGGGTGCACATGTGGGCTGCTGTGAAGAATAGGATCCCCCGGGGAGCCTGATGCAGAGGATTTACGCTCTGTCCTGTGATTCTTGCTCACATAGCCTTCAGGGAGTTTGTGGTGATGCTCACAGGCACAGGAGAACAGGAGAACAGAGAACCTCCTACTTCTAGCGCCCCCACCCCCACCCCGTAAAGCGGACAAATATTGTCGACAATCAGGAAAGAACCTCAGGAGTCAGGGTGTAGCTCAGTTGGTAGACTGCTTGCCTAGTGAATGCACTAAGTCCCAGGTTTCATTCCCAGCATCACATAAACCATATCTGGCACGGAGGGCGTAGAGGCAGGAGAATTAGGAATTTAAGGACACCCTTAGTTATGTAGTGAATTTGAGGTCAGATACCTGGACTACATGAAACCCTGTCTCAAAACCCCCCAAAACCTTGCTAGGCATGCAACATACACTACTAATCCTAGCACTTGGGAGGCAGAGGCAGGTGGATCTCTGAGTTTCAGGCCAACCAGGGTTACATGGTGAGGCCCCATCTAAAAACAAATAAAACAAACATATATAAACAAACAAAAAAACAACAAAACATCAAAATACCAAACCCTAACTAAGACAAATAAGCAAATCAAGAGGGAACCCCAAATGGTCAAGAGGAGTGGGCTGGGGTGAGTCTAGTATTAGCACTGGCTGTCTGTGCAGTGTCTCAGGTCACTAAGCTAAAGAATCCTGCAGAAGAGGTGGAAAGCTCACAGATATGCCGTGGACTTCACTGGGCAAGTAGAAGCCACAGGAAAGACTTGGATGCAAATGAAATATGGGAAGTGAGGTCATTGGAGATACCCAGGACTGACCAGGAGATAGACATGGGAGGACCAGGAGTTCAAGGTCAGCCTCTCTACATAGCCAGTTTAAGGATACATGAAACACTGCCCAAAAAAATTTGAGGAAGCCATGTGACCTGTGACATGAAGGCACGACAGCCATTGAACCCCACAACAGAAGTACCAATGTTAGTGAACCTAGTCAGCAAGGCTTTCAAAGCTCTACAAAACATGAAGGGAAAGGAAGAAAATGAGGAGAGGGAACAGCCGCTGAGCCACTGAGTCAAGCATGGTGTTCAGGAAGCAAATATGGAAAGACTGAAGCTCAGGGATGGCCTGGGCCAGTGAGACCTGAACTCAGAAAGAAATGGAGACAAGCAGCAGCCCTGGAGCTAAAACCACAGGACGTGAATGGCTACAGTGGATGGGATTCCC